AACAATTTAGACTTTCATTTATACCTCGGTGTTTTCAGCAGGGATTTGAGTTCCTTCCGCCTCTTCCTCCGCCTCCTCAGACCCAGCTTCTGACCCAGTTTCCTCCGCCTCCTCAGGCCCAGCTTCTGACGCAGTTTCTTCCTCCTCCTCAGATCCAGCTTTTGACGCCGATTTCTCCGTCTCTTCCTCTGAATTCGTCTTATCAACTATCCGTGGAACTCTTTGGTTTATCGGAGTTCTTTCGGCCGAAATAGATGGTCGCTTTGTTTGTGCCATTGCTATGTCAAAATCGACAAATCTCTCTTTAATCAAATGAAGCCATTACCTACGAAATCGAAAAAAATACATAATTTCAACATACTTTCTTCCGAATTGCAAGTTAGTTATCCTAGTTGTGCAATTTTTAGAGGGAATTTTCGCGAGAGACAGATTTGAAACTGAAAAGAAGAAGTCGTGGGGAAGTCGGCTGCGGATTTGGGTTTAAATCCGATTTACACATAATGGGTCGGGTCAATTGCTGGTTGGGTTGTANATAAGTTGAGTTTCTCTAGTTTTTTTTGTTCTTTCAGCCATTTTCGACAACAAAAGAAAATAAAAAGAAAAGCTTTTAGGAGGAGGCCTTTGTTAATTGAGTTTATAACGAAGGGTTACATGAGAAGTTGATCCTTCAAAACATTGCTTGAATCGCTTTTTCGATGATAAACTGCGTCTTGGAAATTTCTTCCTTTTTCTGTTAACTTTTTAATTTACCCAAATTATTATCAAATTATTCTGCGAATTTTGCTGTATACGTGAGTGGGAGCGAAAGGGTTTCTACGAGAGATGCAGAGAATCTCCGGAATCAGAAGATTCTGCGTCTCTTCTCTGTCCTCATCTTCCGCTTCAAACCTCACCGGTAAGAATTTTTTCTTTTATTCCCAATCAGACATTTCCGACTAACTCATGTCTGGTTTTGTTTCTTTAAGGTTTTACTTTCCTGGTCTGGGTTTATCTGAATCTCCAGTTTTCTGGGGTTTATTCGGCTTTCTTGAATGTCTCTATGCTAAGCCAAAGTTGATTCTTGTTCAAAGTTTGATGATTTTTTTTCGATTTTTCACTGCAAATAGTTTCATGCTTCCCTGTTTCATTTATTTTGTCTTTGTAGATCATCGGATGTTGAAACAAGTTCTTGAATCATGCAAAGCTCCCTCAAATTCCAAATGTGTTCTGCAAACACATGCTCAGATCTTTAAATTTGGATATGGAACCTATCCATCTCTTCTTGTCTCCATGGTTACAGCTTACAGACGCTGCAACCTTTCATACATTGCTCGCCGGCTTCTCCTTTGGTTCCTCTCTTGGTCTCCTGGTGTCTCTAACACAAACCTTATCATTGAGAGTCTTATGAAAACTGGAGAGTACGGGTTAGCTAAGAAGGTTCTTCGTAGAACCAGTGAGCGGAATGTGATCACTTGGAACTTGATGATTGGTGGTTATGTAAGAAATGTCCAGTATGAACAAGCCTTGAAAACTCTTAGGGATATGCTTACTTTTTCGGATATTAAACCCAATAAGTTCAGTTTTGCTTCCGCTTTAGCAGCTTGTGCNCGNCTCGGAGATCTACACNATGCAAAGTGGGTGCATTCTCTCATGATCGATGCAGGGATTGAGCTTAATCCGATATTGTGTTCTGCACTTGTCGATGTCTTCGCAAAATGCGGGGATATAGAAACTTCGAGGGAGATTTTCTACAGGGTTAGACAGAACGATGTGTCGATTTGGAACGCGATGATCACAGGCTTTGCTACTCATGGGCTAGCCACAGAAGCGATCAGAGTGTTTTCAGAGATGGAGGCGGAACATGTTTTACCGGATTCAATAACATTTCTCGGACTTTTGACAGCGTGTAGCCATTGCGGTTTGCTTGAAGAAGGAAAAGAGTACTTTGGTCTAATGAGTCGCCAGTTTTCGATACAGCCCAAGTTAGAGCATTACGGGGCCATGGTTGATCTGCTAGGCCGAGCAGGAAGGGTAAAAGAAGCGTATGAGTTGATAGAATCAATGCCAACCGAACCGGATTTGGTGATATGGAGGTCTCTGCTTAGTTCCTCTAGAACTTACAGGAATCCCGAGCTCGGTGAAATCGCAGTACAGAATCTTTCAAGGGCAAAGAGCGGAGACTATGTGTTGCTTTCGAACATCTATAGCTCCACGAAGAAATGGGAGAGCGCTCAAAAGGTCAGAGAGTTGATGAAGAAGGAGGGAATCCGTAAAGCGAAAGGAAAGAGTTGGATGGAATTTGGAGGAGTGATACACCGTTTTAAGGCAGGAGATAGATCTCATATAGAAACAAAGGCTATATACAAACTATTAGAAGAGTTGATACCGAAAACTAAGTCTCACGGTTTTGTTCCCGACACGGATTTGGTGTTGATGGATGTCTCTGAAGAGGAGAAAGAGGAGAATTTGAATTACCATAGCGAAAAGCTTGCGTTAGCGTATGGGATCTTGAAAAGTAGCCCGGGATCAGAAATTAGAATTCAGAAGAATATACGGATGTGCAGTGATTGCCACAACTGGATAAAATCAGTGTCGAAGTTGTTGAATAGAGTGATTATAATGCGGGATAGGATACGGTTTCATCGGTTTGAAGATGGGTTGTGTTCTTGCAGAGATTATTGGTAAGCTCTCAAAGAGTACCATCAAGAAACCTGGTATTACATGAACCTGTCGAAGTTGTTCAAGTACAGTTTGGTTCAGTGAAGCTTTAATTTTGATGATACATTGTGTTGAAGCATGAAACATTTTTCTCAAACAATCTTCGTTCTGGTCTCTGACTGTTGAAAGTCTGGGAGGTTGCTCTAAGTTTTTAGCCTTTAGGGATTTGTCTGAGAATCTCAAAGTTTTTAGGGACTAAACTGGAATATAAGGCCTTGATTGGTATAGTTTTTTTATGAGCAGTAGCATAATGTAGCATTAGCAGTAAGCAGCTGGAACAGTATGCTCTGATTAATATACCCATTTAGCTGATTGGTTGAGCTGTGAATGATTAGATATAAAATTAAAATAAATTATTTTATTTTACTTATTTATATGTATTGTAATACATTATATATAACATCAATATTTATTTTTTAATTAAATTATTATTTTATTATAATACTATTTCACAAATAATATGACAAATAAACTAATGGTATANATTAAGTTTTNATTTTNATATAAATATAAATATNNTTAAGAATTATAAATTTTAATANTTAAGTTANATTTTTATTAAAATTTATTTAAAAAATAATAGAACATATAAAAAATGATAAATATTAATATATATATATATATGTTTTATAATTACAGAATTATGTATATTTAATTTCATTGAAATGATTGTATATATTATATTTATAAATTATAACATAAATTTCTTTTATAATCTTTTCGAATTTAAATTATATTTAATTGAATTAGGATTGTATTATAATATTATCTTAATATAATAGAATAAATAAAATAATGATAAATATGAACTTAAATAATTAAAAGTTAATATAATTTGTTTTTGTTGTAATATAAAATAAATTGGTTAGTTATGTTATTTTTAATTTTTGTAAAAATATTTAGAGATCAATGCTCTGGAAATGCTCCATTTGAGAGCATTGAGGGATGAACATTTTGAAAGCATTTGCAGTTTTAATGATAAAAATTCTCTGTCAACCAATCAAGTTTGAAAGCATTTGCAGTTTTGAAATACCCTACTTAATTCTCTGTCAACCAATCAAGTTTTAATGATAAAAGACATAATCCTCTGCTCTGCCAATCAAACACTAAAAAGTGTAGTAAAATTGGTGATTTATCATTTTGTACCTACTCAAGTGACCGCCAGCCAATGGGATTGGAGTGTACAAGGGAAAATATAAAAACTGTTAAAAATTCAAAAAATATCCACCGTGCCGGATTCGAGAACCAGCGACCTAGAGATTTTCTGTTGTGCACAACTACAGTCTCCTACTCTACCAACTGAGCTAAGAGCGGCTCATGCTCTTGCATCTGTTATTTAGTATATATTCATTATTTCATATGTCTATTACATGGAAGATTGCTTTCACAAAATTTTTTAATTTCTTATCGATATTTATCGTATTGGCTGAAAGTTTAAAGCGGATCAAAGGAGTTTTGTAAAAAGAGTTCAACCACATTTCTCTTTCTTAGTCCACCTAATCTACATAGGTTTTTCAATATTCAAGTACCTATCAAAAAGACAGATTCGTAAGACCTTGTGTAATTAGAGAACTAAGAGTGTGAATGTGTGTAGTGGGTAGGGCGGGAGCATGTGCGGGAACCAATACAGTCACTATTCACAATTTTTTTTTGAGTTTGGACAGCCTTTGCATTAATTGCAAAATGACAAAACCACATCACATCTGCGGGACAAAAGGAGATGGAACGCATGTGAACCGCAATTGAGAGAAATAAGATGTGGTTAGGAGTGTTTTCGATAAAAAAAATAAAAAAAATATTTTTTACACTCTGAAAAAAAATCAAGCCAAATTTTCTA